GCATAGTTCAGTCTTAATGTGTGTCTTGTCTGCCAGGCGTTTGGTTCTAGTAATTAGTGTTTTAGCCACGGAGTTTATCTGTGCTGGGTGGTGGTGGGATTGGGCGTTGAGGTAGCGGTTGGTGTGTGTTTTCTTCTGGTATATGGTGTGTCCTAGTGTGCCATCTGTTTTTTTGTAGATTAGTACCCGAACAAAGCCGAATGCCATATATATATATTTATATTAAATATATTATTTTTTTAATAAAAGTATATTAGTGGTCCTCGGGATTTAAAATTATGAGTTTGGTGGTCCATGAGATCTAAAAGGTTGGCAACTCCTGATCTAAAGCATGGCTTTTGTTGATTTCTCACCAATTAAAATATCAGTATCTATTTTTAGGGATAAGCCTTCAGCAAACATGGCTTATGTCAGCTATGTTAGGGATCTCCAGCATTTATGGACCAGTAGATGCATTATTTTGCCTTGAACAGGATTATAAAATGGCTTCTGTGAAGTGCATATGCCTGCTCACAAAATGTCTGTAATAGGGATGATGGCCAATCAGAAAATTTAGTAATAAAAAATATCTGTTTTATATAAAAGCAATTTGCTGATTATAAAAGGCAAGTTACTGGCACAGGAACAAGAAATCAAGGTAGACTCTGACCTTGAAATGCCACAACAAAGCAGAATGCTTATTTCCTTGGAGGAGCATTAATAACGCTATGGGGAAGAAAACACCAGCAAACTGTTCCAGCACTCATGCCACAAAATTAAGGTTGGGGAAAATATGTAGGTTCTGATTTTGTGATTCTAGGTTTTTCAAGCTATTAAAGTAATGTAGCTCGTTATTTTTTTAAATTAAAAAAGCTTAATACATAGCAAATATGTTTAGTGACTGTTGGTCTTAATCTGGGTATTTTATTAACTTTCCAAACTTTGGTCACACACTATTACACAGGCACATTTGTGGCATTGAAAGGCTGCAAAATAATCAGAAAAAAGAATGAAGAAAAACAATCATCTTTAGTCATAGAATGGTTACTTTTCCTTGTCCCAGATACATATCCCCTTTATAAAAATACAGATTCTGCAACCAAAGGACTTATATGCAATAACCTTCCTACAAACACAGTTGGCTAAAATAATAACAACAAACTTAAAATGTTACTCTGCAGAACCAATAATTCTCCATAAATCAGGGCTTAAGGGCCTCATTGTGTCTTAATCAGTATTAAGGTTCTCACTTCAAAAGAAAGTGGAGTTAATTTACTTTTTATTTTTCAATTTTATTATTACTTGATGCTTTCATAATAATGCAACTTTAAATAATTGCCGCTTTATTTTTCATCAGTAGAGGGTGTAATGTAGTAAAATTCACTGCTATCACTCCACCTAGTGATAGAAAATGCTTATAGATCTTTGGGAAAAAGCATTCTGAAACAAGCTAAAATTGACTGGACTAAAAATATAAAGTAATAGGAGATTCTCCTCCATGCTGCTGTGAGAGCCCAGGATGGGTTAGGCTCCTTCTGATGACATCATCAAGCTGAGTCTGTCTTGTATAAAAGGAGCAGCCTGTGGTAGTGACCCCACCTTTGACTCAGCTTCTTTTGATGACAATTGAGCTGGTGTCTCTGAAAACAGTTTTAGTCAGCAGCAAAAATCAACAGCGATCTTAGATCATTGGCACAGCTCCCGGGGATCTGGTGCAGCTGCGCCTTCAGGAGAGTGAGACTTCGCTTACAATGCCAAGGATTCAACATTTTCAACCCAAGGGAGACTGTAAGTAAGGAAGAAGCCCTTGGCCCTCCCCTACAGCTCTTCCTTTGCGATTTCGGCCGCTACGATCGTAAAGATCGTATTGGCGATAACCACGCCTCACAGCTGATACGAAAAACAACAAAAACCGCAGGTTTTTCCCTTTCTAGGCGATTTCGCCAGTTGGGGCTGTTTCCAGCCTAGGGAGCGACTAACAGCCATCATAGCCTGCAATTCATGCGAGAGGCCATTTTGAAAGCTTCCTCTTCCAACACACATGGCGAGCAGCCATTTTAGGTGGCCTCATCTACCAACGGCCTGCTCCTATCCCCCAAAAGGGCTCTAATTCAGGCTACTGCATAGGCAACACATAGTGAGGGTCGGTCCCAGCACCTCTTGTGTCTGCTTATGCCAACTATGGATCAAGACAAGATCCACGCAGAGCTTTCAGGCCTGAATACCCAAGGCCTCTAGACTGCCAAAAGAAAAAGGAGACAATGCTCTCAATCTGTTCAAAGGGAGGTAGCGGCCAAGTTCAGGCCAAAGCCTTGGGCCCCAAGAAAACATCCCAGGCGAACTAAAAGCAGAGAAACGAAGACATGTGGCCTTGGAGAGACAGTTCAATAAGACAATTGAACAAATGAGGGACAACTGCAACAGGCTTCCCAACCAGCCTATCCTCTGGTGGTTCAGGCAAGTACTTCCAGGGAGGTGGGGGAAACTCCAGCTCTTCTTAGCCACCTCTAATCCTGGTCCCCAGAGAGGCTTGAGGACCAAGTCGGGCCTCAAGACTTGAGCAGATCAGGACCTTACTTCATACAGGCTCCTTGGGACCTCTTTTCTTCTCTGCCATCTGTAGCCCAAAGTAGCTCTCAACCAAGACCAGAGGCTACTTTTACCCCAACAGCAGCAAGCCTTCGGCCCCCAGATCCTCCATCAAGGATCCATGATGTAGTCTCCATAGCCACCAGACAGGGCCTAGCAGAAGGGCTTCAACACATCTTTAGGCCCTCAGACAGATCCCCACCCATTTTTCCGGCTGACTTTTAGGCCCAGATCCCCAAAAGGGGACTACCTCACCTTGTGGAGCACAGGGCCCCTCCTACCCATGTAGAATGTGTTGATTTTGAGCAGGGAGACTACGCAGAACCATCTGAACGTAGCCCCTCTCCTGCATTTGAACAGGAAGAGGGAGAAATCTGGGACCCCAACCTCTTGGAGGAAGAGGAGGATCTGAGGCCTGATCAACTTTTCTCAGCTGCAGTATTCAAACCTGCCTTATTTAAACCCCTCCTCCACAAGGCACTGGTCACAGCCCAGTTGTCCTCAGATGAAGCTGCCCCCGAACCTCAAGTGGTGCAGTGGGGGCATGGGGATTCCCTCTTCTCCAAACCCATTGTTCACTCGGAGGTCCTTCTATCCCCCATCATTTTTCTGGACTTAGTCAAGGAGCAATTTGCCTCCCCCACTGCAGGCCCCCGCCTATCATCCCATGATAGGTGGTTTTACAACGTGGGCCCTTCCCTAGCTACCACTCTTGCAGTTCCCTTGGTAGATGCCCCAGTCATGGCTTCCTTCTTGAGCACTCCAACTGAGCCTGAGGACATACTAAAGGCAGAGGACAAACACTCCGAACAAACATGAAGTGTAACCATCAAGCCTCTTCTTGGGCCGTCTGGGCCTCAACTGCTGCATCGTTTTTTACAAGGTCTTCCATCCGCTGGCTGCACCAACTACAAGGCCGCCTACACATCAAGATCTCAGTAAAATTATAGCAGCAGCAGAGTTCATGGCAGATGCCACCCTTAACTCCGCCAAGTTCTCCTCCAGGGCCATGGTGTCGTCTGTGGCAGTGAGGAGACTGCTATGGTTACAAAATTGGCAAGCGGAACCCTGGCGCAAGTGAAAGCTGGCTTCGGCCCCCTACACCAGCAGGAAGCTGTTCGGTGATGTTCTCAATCTATTCATCGTTGAAACAAAGGACAAAAGAAAAGTTCTTTCCTCAACAGGGAAGAAGGCAGACTTCCATCTGGCCCCATACCGGTCACCTCCATTCAAGCCCGAAAATACTTTTCGCTTCTCCAGACTGCAGAAAGCGTATTCCCAGCACCAAGAACATGGTCTTCCATCCGCTGCATAAACAATATTCTGGGAACTGTTGCATTGGAAAAAAATAACAAAATTAAGTTATAGATAATATAGCATTGCAGTTAAATTACTTAGAGAAAAGTAACTAGTTCATAGATTGTGATTTTTCTGTACAGTAATAAAAACCACTAGACTTTTCACACATTATGAAAATGAAAGAAAAGTTAAGATCTTGCCAAAAATGGAAATTTCTGGAATTAAAGGAAGTAACTGCTTATTTTTTCTGGATAATAATTCTGCATAGTATTAGGAGGTCATGAAATCAAAATAAAACAAGAACTACTACTATCATAGCAGAAAAGATCTGCTTTGCAATCTTGATTGCAAAGATTTCTGAGTGAAGAGAAATGTGCGCCATGGCACCATTTGTTACTCTAAAACAGTGTGACAGATAGTATAATATAAATATAAAAATAATATTCAAAGTTTTATATGCTATTTATCTTTATATTAAATGTTTATTATTTATTCATATTTTGGTGCAATATACAACCAGTCTTTTTTAGTAGGGTTTTCCAAATTTTATGATTACAAAAATGTATATATTGCTCGCTCCCTCAGTGTTGCAAGATATTTTAATTTTTCAAGGCAAATATAGTCAGACTAGACCTCTCTCAGATACTGTTCAAACTACTACCCAAATTAATTCACAGGTAGGTTAGAGATACTGTGGAAAAAAAATTGAGATATCAAAGGGAGATTGCACCAAGAAAGTTGGCAATCTATACTATAGTCTCTTGCTTGATTTTATTTATGCAGCTATAAGTGGTAAGATTTGATCATCATATAATTTAAATATATTAACTATATTTAATTAATGCTACATGTTTATATTAATTACATACTGCAAATCTTTATGTATGTTAATTATTAAATCATTCTATTTGTATTAATTATTCAAAACTTTCAATTTTACATGAGAAAATCCAGGTTGTGCTTGTCAAACTTACTATATGTCATATAATATAATGCAGTATTCTGACTTAATGCTCTCAAATTGTGTAAGAATCATGCCCCAGGACTTCAGATCCTAGCACATCTGGAAAAAGATAATGCATCATGTTTTCTGGTCCTACAGTTGCTGTTTCAACTCTTATATTTTTGAATAGAAACTGAGATCTTGGCACTCTTCAACCAGCCAAAGACCTTGCAGACACCCAGCCAATACTACACCGTAATTGTACCGGTAAGATTCATCAACAGTGGAAAAAGCATTTGTGCCTTAGAAGCCAATTGGCTCGAGGACATGACAGATCACTTCCGAAAAGGGAGTACATTGGTACATGGCATCTTCAATCATGGAATGATAAATGGTAAGAAATTATTCTAGTTACTCACCTTAATTTCCTTAAATCGGTTTCAGTTTCTGATTCTTAATATGTACCTTGCTTTCTGGCTTCAGTTTCAATTACATATTTTTTTTTAATAGATAGAAATTATTAACCATTGTTTTAAAAATTGTGCTTGTTGCCCTTTGAAATTACATGCTGATCTGAATGTGAATTGCAAGTAGGCGAGAATAATCTTTGAAGCAGCAGCTGCTCATCTAAGTTTCTGTAAAAAATACTGCTTTGTGGAGATTCTGCCGAAACGTTGCTACAACTTTAAAAGCACAACTATAATAACGTTGGAAAATACCCTAACAAAGCTGAATACCATACATATATGTATGTATGTATGTATGTATGTATGTATGTATGTATGTATATATGTGTGTGTGTGTGTGTGTATACACATATACATACATACATACACATACATACATACATACATACATACACATACATTGCTCAAAAAAATAAAGGGAACACAAAAATAAGGCATCCTAGATCTGAATGAATGAAATATTCTTATTAAATACTGTGTTCATTACGTAGTTGAATGTGCTGACAACAAAATCACACAAAAATTATCAATGGAAATCAAATTTAGCAACCCATGGAGGTCTGGATTTGGAGTTACTCAAAATTAAAGTGGAAAAAAACACTACAGGCTGATCCAACTTTGGTGTAATGTCCTTAAAACAAGTCAAAATGAGGCTCAGTAGTGTGTGTGGCCTCCACGTGCCTGTATGACCTCCCTACAACGCCTGGGCATGCTCCTGATGAGGTGGCGGATGGTCTCCTGAGGGATCTCCTTCCACACTTGGACTAAAGCATCCCCCAACTCCTGGACAGTCTGTGGTGCAAGGTGGCATTGGTGGATGGAGCAAGACATGATGTCCCAGATGTGCTCAATTGGATTCAGGTCTGGGGAACGGCCAGGCCAGTCCATAGCATCAATGCCTTCGTCTTGCAGGAACTGCTGACACACTCCAGCCACATGAGGTCTAGCATTGTCTTGCATTAGGAGGAACCCAGGGCCAACCGCACCAGCATATGGTCTTACAAGAGGTCTGAGGATTTCATCTCGGTACCTAATGGCAGTCAGGCTACCTCTGGCGAGCACATGGAGGGCTGTGCGGCCCCCTAAAGAAATGCCACCCCACACCATTATTGACCCACTGCCAAACCGGTCATGTTGGAGGATGTTGCAGGCAGCAGAATGTTCTCCACGGCATCTCCAGACCCTGTCACATCTGTCACATGTGCTCAGTGTGAACCTCAGTGTGTAAAGAGCACAGGGTGCCAGTGGCGAATCTGCCAATCTTGGTGTTCTCTGGCAAATGCCAAACGTCCTGCATGGTGTGCTGTAAGCACAACCCTCACCTGTGGACGTCGGGCCCTCATACCACCCTCATGGAGTCTGTTTCTGACTGTTTGAGCAGCCACATGTACATTTGTGGCCCGCTGGAGGTCATTTTGCAGGGCTTTGGCAGTGCTCTTTCTGTCCCTCCTTGCACAAAGGCGGAGGTAGCGGTCCTGATGCTGGGTTGTTGCCCTCCTACAGCCTCCTCCACATCTCCTGATGTACTGGCCTGTCCCCTGGTAGTGCCTCCATGCTCTGGACACTATGCTGACAGACAGCAAACCTTCTTGCCACAGCTGGCATTGATGTAACATCCTGGATGAGCTGCACTACCTTGTGTGGGTTGTAGACTCCGTCTCATGCTACTACTAGAGTGAAAGCACTGCCAGCATTCAAAAGTGACCAAACCATCAGCCAGAAAGCATGGGAACTGAAAAGTGGTCTGTGGTCACCACCTGCAGAACCACTCCTTTATTGGGGATGTCTTGCTAACTGCCTATGCTTTCCACCTATTGTCTATTCCATTTGCACAACAGCATGTGAAATTGATTGTCAATCAGTGTTGCTACCTAAGTGGACAGTTTGATTTCACAGAAGTGTGATTGACTTGGAGTTACATTGTGTTGTTTAAGTGTTCCCTTTATTTTTTTGAGCAGTGTAGTTCTTATTGATGCCATTATGAGAAGTGAAGAATTTGAGAATTTGGCTGGAGATCTAAAGATACTTAATATTATTGCCTTTCTGCTCTTAAAAATAAAATTGTTTATTTAAGAGTTTAAGGCTGTGTACATGGAGATTTTAGGCAGATTTCTTTTGAATTGTTGATTAAATGCAGATGCATTTAGCTTTAGCAGGCCTCCGATTTTGATTTTGATGATGATGATATTTTGCCTAGTGCTAGTGTTAAGGAAGATGAGACAGTATTGCCATTGTAATTGTAAGGGAAACTCTGTAACAGAAAACAACAGATGTATTTTAGCACTTAATTTCAGGATCTAGTATTATAGTCCTTAGCACAGCACTGAGATAGGCTGGAGTCCCTTGGTGGCTATCAATGTTTTTGCCCTGATTTCTACCTTTAAAAAAAATCTCTAAAATATTGGAAATATGGCGGATTGCAAAGTTTCATTAACTTTCTTAGAAAATAACAATGCCCTATGTGTTATCTGAAATAATGCCCTCCTGGAAGAGAAAGAACAGAAGTAATCAGCATGCATCATGCAGAGGGATAAGGTTAGAAGAGTTGACATGTAACATTATGATACTTTGGTGCTTTATGTCCCATGACAGCTTTTTTTTTTTTTTTTTGAGACTCAAACCCCTGCACAACTGTGAGAGTATCTACAATACATTCTTAAATCCCAAATGTGCACACTAACTCAAATAAGTTGGGAATTTCTGATGTAGTGCTCACTATATTCTATGCATAAAGCATTATTCTTTGAGTATGAGTAAGTACTATGTATATATTCCTTACTTTCTATGCCCTATGGGACATTTAAAACTCCATCTGTGTTTATTTGAAACAATTATCTCCTATGCCTGTTAATTCATTTTTGTTCAGATTTAGAATACTTCAGGATGCAAGTCTGACTCCAACATTTATAGTCAAACTGAGAAATAATGTCTAATGCAAAACCTTACAGTAGGCTTCAATAATTAAAATGGATTTGAGCCTCAATTCCACTGGTCCTAATCCAGCATTTTATGCTGGCTCTCAATGTACCCTTCATTATATATAAATTATATTTTTTAATCAGCATTATTGAAATGTTAGCATTTGTATGATAGTTGTGTTATGTTACCTGCAGAAGAAAAACAGTACACATTCAGAAATTTGATTTTGTGAATCAAATGGAAGCAGTTTCTAAAATGTTTCTGGTTGTATTATTTCCATAATGCCACCATCAATTAAAATATTCAGTGAAAATCCTTGTTGAAATTAAACTGAGGGAGAGATTTTTTAAAAAATCCTTTAGAAAGGGAATTTTAAAGGGCACTTAAATGAATACTTTCCTTGGGATTGGGGTAGGGTGTTTTTTTTGGCAAAATGTTATTAACTAACTTGAAGACAAATGGTCTATTTTATTTATTCATTTATTTGCATAAAAGCGTAGTGCAGTTTCAAAAGTATGAATTATTAGAAATGATGTATGCCAAATTAAGTTTTTTTTAATTGGATTTCTGGATCATTATCAATTATTGCTTAACATCTTAAATGGTGCACATGAAAAGCATTATCTTATTGTTTAAACACCATAGAATGTGTTTTACAAGACTGGAGACTTTTTCAAAGAATATGCATTTAATTCCTTCAGAAAGAGTATTGCATGTTGGCTTAACAGTTCATTTTGTGCACAAGCAAAATAAATTTAAATTTGTATAATGAGTCTAAGAAGTAGAATTAACTGGTACTGATCAGCTTGCTTTTGGGCAAGCATTCTAACTGTAGTTCTATAAACTATGATATGCTAATACATTGCAGAGATTAAGATTAGTTTCTGGGGAAAGTTAAGTTTAATTTACAGTCCAAAGAAAATCATGTTATTGAATAAGAGCATTTTTTGCTTTCAGAATTGCATTCAGATTGAAAAATCAGCAATAACATTGTAATAATAACAAGATGCCAATTCCATTCTACAGAATATTTAGCAAGTTTGCTATTAAAGCCATCATAAACCAATCATCAAATGAAATGAGTAATAAATATGAATATTGAATCAAGTAATTCATATTTGCACTTACTGAGAGACGGAAAATTTGACTCATTGTAAAATCTTTACATACATGTGTGTGAGTGTGTACAATGTTCTACATATAGGATGTTCTACATATAACTCAAATGCACAAATAGACATTGCCATGTATTACAACTATTTGTGTCCTTGTTACTAGGTTGTGGCAGAAAAGTCACTAAGCTACGATATTCACAAATCATAATCAGGGAAAGAAACTCCCCTGATAAAAAGCAGCCATAACAGAGGTTGTACATCTATAAAAGGCAGTTTACAGGACAAAGACCTATATTATATATGGGCCATTGAATTTTATAGTAATAACTATAATGCAAACTTTCTATGGAGTGTTTAATAGTTCAAAGGAAACAGAGAACACAAAGGCACATTGCTCCCCAGTAGTATGATTGTCATCATAACAGAAGATTTTTCCCCCCATAGCAGCCTTGTAAATCATGTGCAGGAACATTAAACTGACATTTTGCCCAGCAGAATAGCATCAAATTTTTATATACCCAAGTGAAAATAGTCTTTGGAGCTCAGTGAGGGAGCATCCCCCCATTAATAAAAAATTCAGTGATAATGGAACCTTCTCTTTTAAAGGGAGGGATTAACCTTTTACATGAGCTGATTGAAGGTAAAGAAAAATAATTATTATGGCAGAGCTTGAGCTGAAGAGACTTAGTACTTAGTTTAATGGCTATGTGATACGGTGATTAGAACAAATGAGGCATCATTTGGCCAACTAGCATTAAGGTTTAACTAAGTAAATAGAATATGTTGAAATATATAGGTTTAATCACACAAAAATAGGGCAAGTAAATAAGTTTACTCAGTGACTTAGTGAAAACAAGAAGGTTTAAACAGATGGTCTTAAAATAACACCTACA